AAACGGAAGACAATTAAACCCACAAATCAAGAAAGAGTCTTCATTTTTTTTTCGCTCTTCCATCTTCCTTGTTTTTGCAATATATTCTTTTTTGCTCTAAATTTCTTACCACAACTCCAGCTTTTGTTTTAGCTAGAAAGGCTCATTTTTACTTCATCACTTTAAAAAAACCCATAACAGTTTCAATCTTTATCTTTTCTCCTTGAATTTTTCATTTTTTTCATTTTGTTTTTCAATCTTTCTTTAGTTATTCACAATTAATTTTTGGTTAAAAACCTAAAAACCTTAACTGTAAGGAAAAGTGCTTAACTTACCCATTATTAGGATCAAAATTTATGATATGATGATTTTGTTAAAACAAAGACAACATTAAACTAAAGCCCAATTTTCAAATATTAGGCCTTTATAAAAAGGTCCAAAATTGTTATTTTTGGATATTAAAATCTCAAATCCCTTTTCTACAGTAATCAAACTATGGACATTCCATTTTATACATTTACCATCATAGCTACTACAAAGATTAAATCTCACACATTTATCACTATAATTACCACAAACATTCATCTCATACATTTACTTTTATAGCTATGGCAAACATACTATCTCAAAAACATTTATCTCTACAACTACTGCTGATATAATGCCTCATTACATTTATCACTATACTTACTACAAATATCCTATCTCACACATTTACCGTTATAATTATCGCTAACATAATGTATCTAAATAATATGTTTTGCATTGCTATAGAATGGTGGACCCATAATGTCGACACTTCTCCGGCCCAATGATGATAGCAACTTTTAGCTTAACCCAGCACATCTAGTTTAATCCTTGTTAAGTTGTTCTTTTTCATTGCTTGTTGCTGCATCTCAACAATAATAAAGCGATTCAACAGACATATTTCTCATTTAAACTCATCAAGTCAATAAGCATCTGCAGAAATCAAAGTCAGTAGTCAAAGTCAAAGTTAACTATACAACAAAATGACTAGTTCTGTTTTAGTCAAAGTCAAGCATGCACTCAAATGAAAACTTTTAGAATATTGGTTCTAAATCCATATATAAGTTTTACAACAAAAATGGTGAGACAAGGACCATCCAAATGTAAGTCACCTATGAAAACAAAAAGACATCTAATTACTGTAACATTTTCACAAATTATGAATATGGTAAAAAATGATACTTAACAACTAACAATTACATAAAGTCTCATTACGATTGTAAGTTATCTCAATTTTTGCTATGATAGAGGGTTATCTCAAAGCATTATCATTGACAGAAATAAAAGGATATTTAATCACTTCAAAGGATTATCATCTGCTAACCAACATACTTTTTAAACTAATGAGTTTCAATAGAAAATAGTAAAGTTTAAAATAGATGTATACCTATACAATGGATGAATAAGTATATAAATATTATCATAGATAGAAGTAAAAGAGACTTTAGTAATTGCATCAAAATACCACCCATTCAAACCATTAAGTTACTTTTGTTAAATGTTTATGCCGCCAAATAAATCTTTATCCTTTTCCATTACTTTTAAATTCTTTATTTGTTATTTTTTTAATTATTATTTTGTTAATAAATTTATCATTCTCTCACCATGTGACATGTGGTCTAAGCCCACATCAAGGATACTCATTAGGAGCATAGTTTGGTTGGCTATGAAAGGCTTGGCCATATTTTAGTTACCTTTATGAGTCTTTCAGCCTTGTTTAGAAAACTTAGAGTTATCGTTTGATGTCTAACTAAATAATGAAATATTTATTAACTCTTAACTAGATTCCTAGATGAAGTGATTACGGAACCTTATTACAACCCACCTTACAAGGCATTTGATGATATTTTACACCTTTCCAAAAGCATTAACTGTGGACGTGATGGAATGTCAACCGTAAAAGTATTTTTCTCATCAAGGAAAATCTAGTACTTTTGGGATAGAAGTTTTATCCTAAGAGCTTTCAAACATGACTAGCAGGAATATTCTTGCCATGGACAAATATTTCAAGCTCTTAGATAAAAGTTTTTCCTCTACTGATGACTAGGCAAAGGCATTTTACTTGAAAAATCCACTCCACCAAGAACGCTTATAAATAGGGTTATCTTCAAGGCATATATCAATGATTAAAAAGGGGAAGATCAGTTTAACAATACTATACTATGCCTAAATTTTCTCAACAACAAACACTTCTTCAATGTTGTTACTCTATCTCAATGGTTGCTCTCTTAGTTAGGCTTCTAAATCTCCTTACATGTAGCCATGTCTTTCTCTTCTCTCAAATCCTTTCAATATTTTGTATTTCTACATCTTTTGTATATGGTCAATGTTACTTCACGAATAAATCCAATTACTTAACCACAAAACACCTTTGGGTTATATTTGATTTATTATTTCTTCATTTCATATTTCATTTCTTGTTGTAGGCACTTACCAACCCAACCTCAAGTTGACCCATCGATAGGAAAACCCAATATTTTTGGATCTTTCTCATCACTTTGGATTGAGATTTATTGTGGATTTGACTAAGATCCAAAAGAAAAAAAAAGAAGCAAAGAATCTTTTATTGTGGAAATAACCTACTAAAACTTTTGGCAATTTCATGCCAATGAAGACTCTATCTCACCTGCCAAGTCACCTATCTTAAAATCCTCATTCGACACTGACCATTAAAAGATCTTTAATTTTAAAAGATTTTGATTGGGTTTTATCAATTTAAAATGGGTATCATGAATTATTATGCATTTGTATATGTTTTATTAGAATTTTATGAATACAGATAGGTTGAATTTTGAGTTGATGAATTTATTTGGGTATTACAAATATGGGTTAAATATAAAAACTATTATACTAGTACTTGAACTTTCATTTCGTTATCATGTCGATACCTAAGACTGACGTTATTGACATAACATGAATATCTAATGGCATGCTTACATGTGTCAAAAGTTCATTCAATATCAATTTTATCAATGTCACGTTAATATAAAAAGAAAAGTTTAAAAAAATTCTAAAAAATTCTAAAAAATTTTAAAATGTTTTAAAAATTCAAAATAATTTTAAAAAATTAAAAAAAAAACTAAAAAAAATACTAATCTTTTTAAAATTCTAAATTTTTTTTTAAAAATTCTAAAATTTTTCAAAAAATACAATACAATTCTAAAACATATTATAAAAATTCAAAAAAATTCTAATAAATTCTAATAAATTTTGAAAAATTCTAAAAGAATTTAAAATTTTATAAAAAATTTAAAAATATGAAACTTTTTTATAAATTATAAAAATTATGATATTTTAAAATTTTTAAAAATTCTAAAAATTTTAATAAAAAGTCTAAAAAAATGAAAATTTTAATCAAAATTAAATTTTCTTAAAGTTTAAAAAAATCACAAAAACTTCAAAATTTCAAAATGAAAAAATATAAATTATTTTTAAAAGTTTTGAAAATTTAAAAAAGTATAAAAATCTTTGAAAAATTCTAAAAGTTTTTAGAAAAATTATAAGAATATTTAAAATTTTGAAAAATTAAATAATTTAAAATTTTTGAAACATTAGAAAAATTAAAAAAATTTTTTAAAATAAATACTTAATATTTGAATAAAAATCCAAAAAATTTAAAAAATTTTTAAAAATTCAAAAAATATGTAAAACATAAAATTGTAAGATTAAAAAAATGACAAATTTTTAGAATTTTTAAAAAATTTTTACGGTTTTAAAAAATTTTATATTTTTTATTTTAACTATTTTTAGGATTTTGCGAATTTTTTTTTGGATTTTAAGAAAAAATTTTATTTAAATCTTCATTTTTTTAATTTTTAGAACTTTTTTTAGTTTTTGAATTTTTTTAAAATTTAGAGATTTTTAAAAAAAATTTTAACTTTCCTTTATTTTTTTTAGAATTTTCAAAAAAGTTTTAGAATTTTTAAAACTTTTTTCAAATTGACTAAAATTTTTTAAATATTATTTTAGAATTTTTAGAATTTTTGAAAATTTTTTTGAAATTTTTATATTTTCTTAATAAATTTTTTTTGAATTTTTTAATAATTTTAAAAATTCTTTTTAGAATTTTTTAAAATTTTAATAAAATTTTAAAAACTACTTAAAAATTTTTTTAATGATGATATGACATTAATGAACTAGTACTAACTGGATTATTTTTAACACATATCAAATTTTATTGGATGTTAATATCACATCAAAAAAGTTAATTAAAAATGTTTGTCCAAAATATTAACATGATAACGAAATGAAAGTTCGTGTATCAATATAATAATTTTATTTTTTTAGATACAAAACTGATAAAAAGTATATAATTGATGGAGTATTTTTATATTTAACCCTATAAATATTAATAAATATGTTATTGTTAAAATCATAAAATTTTTTATATTAAAATATGGAATATTCATGAAAAAAATGTTGAAATCATACAAAAAACATTGATGAATGTAAGTAAAAATATTTTCTGTTAGGTGTCATCTAAACATAGAAAGATATTTTTGATAAAATTCTCTAAACAATAAAAAAATATTGTTTTTTCTCAAAAAATTTTCATAAAAAATATTTTACTTCTAAAAGTTATTTTCGGATTGCCAAATGAAACCTTATTCTTATTGTTCTTTATCGCAAATATAAAAAAAATGTGTTAATGTTTTCTATAAAATAATTTTTTTGTACAGTAAAACCACTTATTAAAATATATACATAAAAATAATTTATTAATATGGTATACTTTTAGATTAATATCTATAATTATAAATATATTATTATTAATTTTTAATAAAATTATTATTTGATATAAGAATAATTATAATAAATTTCAATTAATTATTAATTCTTAAATATTAAAAACATATTAAAATTTTCATTATCTACAAAATTTAATATAAAATTAATAAGAATAATTTTTATTGTCAATATCTTTCATTTTATTATTATCACTATCTTTATATATATATATATATATTTATATATATACCTCACGATTAATTTTAATTTCATACTTAATTTTAATATTACAACCACTGATTACCATTGTTTTCAAATAATCTTACTTACCCGTCCAAAATTAAACACCGGCTCTGCGAAATTTAGTGAAGTGATGATAATAACTTTACCTGAACAGGTCGGGTGCTATCCAGGGTTCATTATCTGTAGCCTATAGCCAGTCGCCACATTGCTCCAACGCGTCTCTTCAACGGCAGGCTTCTTACAGATTGATCCCTCCTCACTGTAAACTGTCCTTTTATTTTTTAGGGTCTGTTTTTTTGCGTTAGATTGTTTCTTTTTGGCCGAGATTGATATCAATTAAGGATTGTTTCCTACGTTTCCAGGGTGATTTGCCGTAAATTGGAATGGCGACGACAATTGTTCTGAAAGGCTTATCTATATCTAGCTACTCGCTTCCCCTCCTCCGCAGTTGGAAGACTAGGCCACCCGCCCCGTCACATCCAATGACTAGAAGCCTAAAAGCGCTCTTTTTGCCTTATAATCGTATCATTCTCAGAGGTTGTCCATCGTTTTGTGTGTCTCCCAACGTTAACGCAGAGGCCACAGCTCAACCGGAGAGGGAGACCGATAATAATGAACCCACGGACAACATAAAGTATGCAGCCAACCTGCTCGACATAAGGGTTGGCCGAATCATCAAGGCCTGGAGGCATGAGGAGGCCGATTCTCTTTATGTGGAAGAGGTGGACGTAGGCGAGCCTCAGCCCAGAATCATCTGCAGCGGCCTTGTTAACTACATTCCTCTCAACCTCCTTCAGGATACAAAAGTAGTTGTTCTTGCTAATCTGAAGCCAAGGAACATGCGCGGTGTCAAGTCTTGTGGAATGCTTATGGCTGCTTCTGACGCGTCCCATCAGAATGTTGAGCTTCTTGTGCCCCCCGCCGCTTCAGTTCCTGGCGACAGAATATGGTTTGGCAATAAACACGATCAAGATAACCAGCCTGATCCTGCCACACCCAGTCAGGTAGCACCGGCCGCCACTTCTTTCTCTTTTCTTTTTCCCTTACCTGTCTATGTTCACTTCAATTCTTATTAAAACTTTGAGATAGGGTGCGGATGCCATAGGCTAAGTTGCTTTTAGTTTGCTATCCAGTAAGTATGCCTTGGTTGATTGCTGAATCTGATGACAAAGATGTACACCCGAGACCAACTTTGGTTTCTCTACTTGGACTTATTGAGAAATTAATGTATATATAGCCATGAAGACTGCTGCCATCTGGACATCTGATCTTCCTATACCTTGTCAAAGAACTAGCAAAGTTGGGGAAGAAGACATGAATTGTAGAATCTATTCTCAGTTTTCTGCTAGAAATATTGAGGAAGCATTGGAGATTAATTTACAATGTTAAGCAAACAAATTGTGAGAGGATATGGAGTTGCTGTCTAATTATCTGCCTAATAAATCTTTCAGTGTTCTTTGGCTGAAGGATCTGAGATTAAAACCAAAACTCCCTTCCAACCTAGAACTCACATTCATATTCAATTCTTGAAGAATCATAATTTCCTAAATTACTCCTTATTGTGATTGAGGGATCAAACGCGAGTCAAAGAGTCAGTCTTGTCCATTCATGCATCCCTGATATTGATTTATTCCACTTGGTAAAGAATAGCGTTGGCGAAAGTTGTATTGTAGTTGAAATAGTTGAAGGCTTGTTGTGTTCCATATAACAAAACCTATCGGACACTATTTATATAACCTAACCCCAACCTGATAGAGGACAAAACTAAAAGATTTGAGGCTTTCAATGATAGTATTGGGTTATTCATTTAATTTGTACCATTCATCCTGCTCCGGCATCCTGCATCCTGCATCCATACGAAGTTTTCTAATTATTTACTGTTTCAAATTTATACAGGTTCAAAAGAAAAAGATTTGGGAATTGGTGCAGCCTCATCTTAAGACAGATGCTTCTCGTAATGCAATGATTGGGGAGCACTTGATGCAGACTTCAGCTGGAGTAGTGGTCTGCAAATCTCTGAAGAATGCAAATATATCCTGATTAGATCCAATGTCAAGTACATTTTCTTCCCATCTGCTTATTTAACTTAAATGCAATGTGAAAATATTTTAGTTTTGAAGATTGATGTGACATTTGCTATTCTTGTAACTTATCAGTTAAGATGTTGTCAGTTCGCTCTTTTTTTTCTGTGCCATTTTCATGGTTCACTGTGATGGCTTATTCTGTTATTTTCACCAATGATTCAATGAAGTATTGAGGTTTCCTGTCATGTGGTTTCATTTATCAGCTCATGCTTGTCCATAATTAAATAGAATTTAAGGAGAAGGGAAAAATAGCAAAGCAGACTGTCTGTTTCTGCAGTGGACTGGCATCATTTAGGTCATATAAATGAATGTAACTTTTTGACTTTTGTGTGTACTTCTTGAAAATGGTTATCAAAGACCAAACTTTCTCCCTGACTCCATACCCCATGCTCGGAAATTATAAGCTACACGGCGGGGGGGTGGGGGGGGGGGTTTAAATGGGGGATATTCATTTAACTACTTTTTTCCTGCCTGAAGCACTTGCAGGCCAAGATGTTTGTCTCCACATGTACAATTGTAGGTGTTTTAAGACTTTTTAATCCCTAATGAAAAAAGGAGAAAAAATTCTGTACCACCTATGATCTAGAGCAACAAGGATTTTCTTAATAAAGAGCGGTATTCAATGTTCTTAATCCTGTTGCTGTCTCTGTAGCTCAGCGGCTTTATTATCATTGTTATGTTTATTATTATATCAAAGTCAGAAGTACTTAAGAGAGGGAAGGTAGGGGTTCCAATTTATTTATATATTTATTGAAGAAAAATTCTTGCCAAATCTGGCTGGGATCGTGCAAAATCGGAGTATAAAGTAGAAATTAGAATGCAAGAGAGAAATGACGTACTAAGCTTGCTTTCTTGATTTCAGCCTCTACAAAGCAACTGTAGAATGGCTCATATTCTCCAACAAGTCCTTTTCTCCCGTCTCCATCGCCATTCCCGATGAATAGCTTCTTCAACTAATTTTTAACTTTTTCTTTAAAATTTTCTGTAATCATGAGAGAAAAGTTGAATTTACTTTTGAGTTTGACGTAGCAAGCCAGCTCGCTAAAAAACAAAAGTATCACTGGTATTATTCTGTCATTCTTTCTTTCTATTAAAATGAAATAATAAAAAAAATTATGTGGTGAACATTGGGAAATGTTTGCTGAGAAAGATTTTCAACCCTTGATTCAATGGTAGGTGTTTGTTTCTTAAAGAGATGGGTTTGATTTTGTTTTTTTCAAATAAAAAAATCCCAAAATATAATGTTTCAAAAGAAAAGTTGCTTATGGTGTGATTCCCAAAATCTAACATGTTAAAGAACATGCTATTATAATAATTTACAAGTTCATATACTCTGTATCTAACTAATTATAAAGCTCAATCTAAAGAAATTATAAAAAAAAAAATCAAATGAAATTATTATAAAAATAAGTAAAGATGAATATGGCTTTTTTTTTATTACTTTATAAAAACAATTATCCACAAAAAAAATTATCTAACTTTTATTTAAGTATTAGTCTTTTCTAAACACAAATTTTCTTTTTCCTTTTCAAGACATATTTTCCACCAACATAGCGAGTGTATTCAATTCTAGTATAATGAAAGCATCGATGATCTAATTTACATAATTTTTTTGACCAATTCTAACATAATTGATGTACATATTTTATTTTTTTGGTTATTTGTAATAAAACAGAAGTTTTTTTTTTCAACTTAAAAAAAGATAAAAATAACAAACAAGCCCTTATATTTTATCACTTTATTTAAATAAATTTTTATATTTTTATTATATTTAAATAAGTTTTTAAACTTTAATTTGTATTCAAATAAATTATTAACTTTTAATTTATATCTAAATAAACTCTTAACTTTTAATTTGTACTTAAATAAGTCTTTAATATAAATTAACATTTTATTTGAAGTAAAGGCTTATTTGAATATAAATAAACAATAAAAGTTTATTTAGATATAATAAAAATATAAAGATTTATTAAAAAAATTGAAATAGTTAAAAAACTTTTTAATATTTTAGTTAAAAAGAGAGGGAAGGAAAGTATGCATATGATAGCAACTAGAAAGCAGCAAAAAAAGTTACATAACTAAAAATATAAAAGAGAGAAAGAATCAAAATAATTGAACCTTTCATTAAAAAAAAAAGAAGGAGAAAAGTGGGCATAATCATTCGTTATTTCAAAAAAAAAAAAAAAGTAAAGAACCAATATATCATTGTTAATTTTATTTTTATCATGACATGAACAAGTTTTTTTTTATAATTTCACCATATTGATCTCATTTGTAACATCAAACTCTAGGTTTTGTTTTATTGTAGTATAGATTACCTTACTCTTATCCTCACTGGTAATTTGCAAGATGGGTTAAGAGAATTAAATAATGCACTCATGCATTGCTTCCTTAGCAATTTAACCGTTAACCTTTGCCTAATTTTACATTACATTCGACTTTCGACAGGTGAGGCGACAGCGAAACCATGCATGGAGATAAAAATAAATAAATAAATAATCAAAATTTGAAGCCAAAAACTGAACCCTGTTAGTAATTAATCGTAACCTTTAACAAAGAATGAGCAAGAGGTAAGAAGACAGGTACAGGATAGCCCAAGTGGATTAGTGAAAATGAAGTGTCAGAAGCAAGCAAGTAAATTAAAAAAAAAAAAAAAGTTACGGCGGAGAAGGGAAGAGGGAAGAGAGTAGAGGATAACTCAGTCAGCACTCAGGGGGCAGTCAAAGGACGATAACTCTGTTAGTATGTCCAACGCTATAGCGAATGGAGTGGCAGGAGCAGGCGCTGGAATCATTGCTCAAATCCTCACTTATCCCCTTCAGACGGTACTCTCTCTCTGTCTTTTTTTTCTTCTTCTTTTTTCAAAATTTTTAAAAAATAAATACAGGCTTCAAAACTCCAATAACCGTGTGTGTACAAATATAACGAAGGTGAACACGCGTCAACAAACGGAGAGAATCGCCAAGTCCAAACCCAAACCCCCCGCTGCGCCTGCCGGCACGCTTCTTCAGATCCTCCATGTACCTGACTTGTCATCTTTCAAATTGCTTATCTAAGTAAGTTTCCAAGTGATTTGAGATTCGGTTCTTCTTCATGTAGGTCGTACGAACTGAAGGCTGGGGAGGACTGTACTCCGGGCTTAAGCCTTCTTTATTTGGAACTGCTGCCTCACAGGTGTTTCTTTTGCCCCTCCCTGCTTCCAGCTTTCTATTTTATGCTAGCAATTTTGACTCGAATACACGCTCGCTCTTCACCTCTTCATGCCTTGTAGTAGTAGCAGTAGTAGTAATATTCTTGTCATTTTGTCAGGGCATTTACTACTACTTTTATCAGCTATTCAAAAATAAGGTTGAGGCTATTGCATCTACCCGTAAGCACAAGGGACGTGGGGATGGCACTGTTGGCATCTTTTCTTGGCTTCTCGTAGCCGCTCTTGCAGGGTAACACACATCCCTTTCATCTTTATGCCATTCATTTACCCGCGGAGTTGAGGCATGGTTATAAAGGATTCATAATTTACTATTTAATTTTAATATACATCCCCCAGCTTGCTGTAGGTTTTATTCTTTCTTGATAATGCCTTCAAATCTTTAGCTCTGTTAAATGCCATTCTTGTGCTGCAGGAAAAAAAAAAGCGTATATAACTAGTCAGAGCAGGGACAGTTAGGACAAGCAATGCTGCCTTCTTTTGAATAAAGAAGAGGCTTTGCATTTTCAAGTTTCGAAAATAATTGATTAAAATTGTCTGACCCTGCAGGTCCTTAAATGTATTGCTGACAAACCCAATATGGGTTCTTGTCACCCGTATGCAGGTCTGCTGTTGCTTCCCTTTTCTATACCTCTATTTTGAAGGGTTAATGTAAACACAACATAAGTTTGTCTTGAAGAAACAATGCTGCATATCTATTAAATTTTCAGTTTATGTAAATATACCAATATTAATATTTATGAATGACTCTCTATCTGTACTACGGTACCACCATACTGGAGTTTATGTGATCCCCTGAAGATAAAACATATGGCATTCTCTGTTTTTTCTTCAGACTCATACTCAAGCGGAAAGAAAAATTATGGAGTCAAAAAAGGAGTCTCTATTGAAGGAGGCTTCTGAAAACAGCTTAATAGCTTCAAGACTGCAAGATAAATTGGCTGAGCTTGATTCAACAAAGCCTCATCCTTATGGAACCATTCATGCGGTTGGTATCTGCCCACTTCTCTTTCCATTTCTTTTTAATACCTTGGGGTTCGGGGTTGAGGAAAGGTTGTCATTACACTCATTATGATGATGACATAATTGGTTTGACCATTTTCTCTGGTTGCTTTTCTTTATTAATTTAAATAGATTTTTTATTTAGTCTTGTAGTGCAAAGCTTCTTCAAAACAGCTTGTCATGCAGTTTCTATCTTTCAAAATTTAACGTAATTTTATATATTGTAATGCGAATGAAAACCATCATATTTATTCATTGCAAATCACAAGTGTATACATTTTCATAATTTTCATAATTTTCTAGGCTCGTGAAGTTTATACTGAAGCAGGAATTAGTGGATTCTGGAAAGGCATTATCCCTACACTTATTATGGTTAGCCTTTACTGTAATATACGTAAACCATGGACAAACTATTTAGTTGCATCTGATTAATGAAGATTTTGTTTATGCCAGGTGTGTAATCCCTCAATCCAGTTCATGATATATGAGAGCTCATTAAAGCGTATGAAGGAAAAACGTGGTGCTAATAATAAGCATGGACTAAAAAATGTATCAGCTTTGGAGGTACAAGATATCTTTGAGAGAAATTAATAGTGTTGGAATGCATCATGCATCATCATCTTGGAGTTACATTTTTATTTCAATTTTTTTCCCCTTGGCATCAAAACTCTCAAAAACTTGTTTGTTATATATCATCTGAAAGGGACATAACCTTTTCCCCATCAAATTTGTTACTTATTGAAACAAAAGATAGAATTAGAAAGGGTTAATCACACATTTGTTACCCGAACTATGGTCAAATGTTCAATTTGGTACCTAAAGTTGATAAATATTAGACTGTTTAACTCCTCTCCTCCCCACTATGGAGCTGGTCCAATTCCATCAAAAATAGGAATAGGAACTTGATGACCTTGTCTAAATTTCTACTTTTTCTGCCTTGCTGTTGTATGAGCAGGTGTTTCTACTAGGTGCCTTGGCAAAACTTGGGGCAACTGTAACAACATACCCACTTCTGGTTGTCAAGGTAAACTTTTGCAGAAATGGTTCCTAAGGAAGTCAGAAAGAGTTCTGCAATTCTTCAATGCAAGTGTCATGGTTCCTTGTTATGGCCTTGTCTTGCACCGACATTTTTGAATCCTCTTACTGTTTTTATTCTCTTAAATAATTGTACAGTCTCGGCTTCAAGCAAAGCAAGAGATTGGTGGGAATGTATCACTAAGATATTCAGGTTTGTTATCAGATGAATTCTGCCCTATCACGATTTTCAAAACTTCTTTGCCAATTCTTTTCATCTTTCCAGTTACAACATTTCTTACCTTCATGTTATAAAGAAACCTTCTACCACAGTTTTGGCTGAGGTGACCTTATAATAACTACAGTTTACCTTTTACTTTTTTCATCTTTTGAGTGTCAGATTTTGTGCCGTCTCTCCAAGCCTTTATCTTTGCTGATGGGTAGCCACCTGATGCCAATATTATGTTCTCAGGAAGCTGCATTTATAAGTTACCGGCATTGTATATTGAATTATGCATGTATTATGGATCTTCTACATCTCTTTTTGGGTCTTGCTCTAATTTAGTTCCATTCTAAATTCAAAACTGCCTTACAAATTGCCCTCATTTTGACTTCACTGTGACATTTGAACTTTTTGTGGACTCTAGATCTTAAATCTTGATTCTCCCTTCTCTTCTGTTATGACTTAAAACTCATAAGATCCTAATCTTTGCTTGGTTGAATTTGTTACTTTTGTTATTGCCAAGGCTATGCTTTATTGATGTGTATCTGGTTTTATAGCAATATTACAACATTAATGCTTTGTCTTTTGATCTATCTGTCTGTAAAGTGTAAACCTATTTGTAGCTTCCATGTCGACAGAAATTGGTTTTGCCTACCAAAATTTATCATTTTATGCATATTCTGATTTTCCATTTCAAAACGGCTTCAGTTTTATTTCTTTGTACCTTTACTAAGTATTCAGCTTCTGTCATACCTGCTTTAAAATCTTTTCATTTAGAGTATTTAGTTGTCCTTATTCTAGTTTCAGCCATGAATTTTATCACCAGGAAGCATTTTACTCAAGGAGCCTCATCCATTATTATAACAGAGTTATATCAAAGTTAACTGGCTTCAGAAAAGGTTTTGGCCCCAAATACATATAGCTTTTTATGCGGAGTTAAAAAAAAAGTACTTTCTAATTCTAAGAAGTAATGCACATTGCTCCTTGCTCTTTTTGGCTTTAATAGCAAGTATGAGAATCTAAGGTACGAAAAGGGATTGTGAATCCATATTTCTGTAGCTTTCCTTGACATTTTGTGTTTCTGGATTCTGTTCATGGGTTTAAGGTTTTTAAATTTTCTGTTGACATTGGAGTCCTAGAGTTATCACTCTTCTTTGTCTTGTTCAGTCTTATTCATCTTCATGCAGAGAAGTTAGGTAAATGTCAATTACCATGTACATTCAATGTAACCTTTGTCTAATTTGACCACCAAAAATTTTGCTTTCATCTTTTTCCTTAAGACTATTTGCCATGTGGTAATTTTTAGGACGTCATGTGACATTTTTTTGTGTTCCTCAAACTGTGGCTTTAATAGTGTACTTTCCACGTAATTAATTTAAAAATAGGTATTCATTTTTATTTGCTGTTGGCTTCCTTTTCGATATAAAGGGATTGAGTAGTTACTGTAGTTATAAGATTGTGATCGGTCCACTATGGTTTGGCAAAAATGGTAACTGGAAAGTTTTGCGGCACAGGTACACTTGATGCAATAATGAAAATGATCAGGTATGAAGGATTGCCTGGCTTTTACAAGGGGATGAGCACAAAGATAGTACAAAGTGTTTTTGCAGCTTCTGTACTTTTCATGGTCAAGGAAGAGCTTGTCAAAGCTTACATGTTCCTTATTGATAAGATCTGGAAAGTCCCATCAAATGTGATTAATCATGTATAAGGTATCTCTCAGTCAATTCTTTTTTCTTTGTTCATAACTGTCAGGTTCTGGTGACACCCTCTGGGGCTTTGCATGTGTCAAAGACTAAAAAGGTTGCTTCTTAACCAGATAATAATGCTGTTACAGGTGATGAAATTTCAAGTATAGAGGTGGTGAAATTTCAAGCAATTTAAGCATAAATTGTGAACTTATATACAACAATTAATTACTTCTTTTTCCCTTTTTCCTAGGTTTTTGAACTTATATACAACAATTAATTATAGTTGTGTGCAAACTTTGTAGAGGAGGAGGTACACGGAAGAAAAAGAAAAATGGAATGAATGACGCTTCCAGGTTCAGAAAATTCTGGTCAATAGGTGATTTAATGAGGCTGATATTTGTCAACAATTATAATACAAAGCTTTCAACTTAATATCACATAGTTATCAAGCAGACGCAGTGCATATTTTTGAGAGTTTAAAAGCAAATACAACATTCTAGCTCTTCCTTTGTGCCTATATGGCTATATGTAAGACCTGTTTTATTTGCTTCCTACTCTTCTCAATGTAATAATCATAGTATTTAAGTGGCTAAAACCCATACTGTCCTTAGAATGTAATGTTTCATAGGATTTTCATTTGTGTTCTATAGTTGAAATGTGATCTACTCTACAGATAAAACGGCTGGCCTTGCGCTGATAACTGTTATGAACAATCTTTTTTTTTCTTCCGGATAATACTTTTTTGATGAAACTTGTGGATAATACTTTTTCCAGTTGTGTATGTATTTCCGATTGGTTTTGGGATAGTCTTCGGACTCTTGGTGATATGCCTAATATCAAATTTACGCAATTGTTTAACCATGACTTTTACAAACACATGGAAATGAAAATACTAAGGTGAAGGATGAGTGCCATTAAACATGCGAGAACTTGTCTGATATTTCATATTTGTTAGTTATTCATTTTATGTTCTACCGTTTATCTTTACAGGAATTAAAAAAAAAATGTGGAAAAGTCTACTCTTCATGCTTCCAACTTCGTGCTACAATCATTCTTTCTTTTTTTTTTTTTTGGGTACTTTCATACTCCGGTATTAAAATAAGATGATATGCTTGCCCAAAGCTCTCGTCAAGATTTTAATTTATAAAATAAAACATTCTCATAAAATGTGGTAATTAGTTGTGAACGGAATACAATAATTATCAACATACTCTTTTTGATGGAAATAATTTGCAACACATGTAAAGATGTCAAAATGGGTTGGCAGCTCGCCACATGGTGTGGTGCAGCCCATCATGGCTTGTGCCAGATCTAACCCATCAGGGTTCGTGTGCAACAGTAATGGGCATGTTTGGCAAAATTTCCTAGCCTTTGGACCAAGACACGGGCCATTATGTGCAACGATTTGATAAGATAAAGAGGCAGGATCCGATTTTCTTTCAATGGTGTTAATCCCTGCGCTCTGCTTGGGTTTAACACCTAACACTTGCATATGAACTAATTATATTTTATAAGCACTCATAAGCCAGTGAGAGTAAGGAAGAGGTTTTAACCTAGATCACACATGTTGAGTTTTTTAAGTAACCCAAAGATCTTTTCCATCTGTTTTTTTTTTTTTTTAGTTCAAGGGTGGGGGGAGTGGGAACTTAGAACTGAGATCTCAATGTCCCTTTTAAGGGCTCTTGGGCGACTAGGCCGGGAGGCAGGGGACATCTTTTCGTTTTGTTTGTTACAAATAATAAAAGCATAATGCAATTATATGAATCTCGTGTAAAAATAAAATAAATGATTTAAATTGCCAACAGCAAGAAAATCTTAGGGGTCGTTTGGTATCAAGATATGTTTTATATTTTTGAAATTTTTTTTTTGTTTTATTTTTAATTTATTGAATCTGAAAATATGTTTAGATAAAAATTTTTTGTTTTAAAAATATGAAAACAAAAACATGTAAGAGAAAGTTGTTAAAGTTTTTAAGCTTCATTTGTTATTAATAATAAAATAATATTTATTTATTAGTATATAATTTTTAATGATTATAATATTATTAATAAATAATATATTTATAAATATTATATTAATAAATAATATTTATAAATAAATTATATATTATTTATTAATATAATATTTATAAATAAATTATATATTATTTATATATTATTAATAAATAATATTTATTAATATCATATATTATACTAATAATATAATACATTATTTGTTTATTAATATAATATTATTTACATAATAAATATAACAATATTATTTATTAATATATTTGTAGACACCTATTTTATCCGAGAAATAGAGTTTCTTGATTTTACTCTAATCCAATCTCGAATTTCTTATTGGGCCTAATTAGATTTTAACTCAAATCTAATTTTGTTTATTTTTGTTTATTTGATTTTAATTTTAGTTAATTTAATTTAATTTTATTTTCCTATTAGTGGTCTTTCTCTTTTCTTCTCTATTTTTGTGATAGAGTTTTTGGTGCATTAAATGCATTGTTAGACTTTAGGGCAAAAATTTTAGAGGCCAAATGTTGGGTTGAAGAAGTCACTTGTGGCCATCATTTTTCTTCTTCAAGTACTAGATTTTTCATTTTTAAATCTAAAAAAATTTGGGATTTGATCTTTTAATGGCTATAAATAAAGCCACACAGTTGCATAAAGAGAAAAAACACATAAATAAAAAGCAATTTTTTTAAAAGGAGTTAAAGCCATTCTGAAAAAAGAAAAAAAAAACACACACACACACACATGCACGCACAAGCATAAAAAAAAAAAATACCACATCCTTATAAGAGGAACCATTAAGAAAAAAGGTTTGTTTGCAGAAATAAAACAAAAAAAAATTTAGTTGAAATTGGAAACCTTGATTTAGAAGTTTAGGATTTTTTTTTTTTTGAAAAATCTAGTTTTAGAAAAGTGTTTGGGAGACAAAAATGATCATTTTGGTTATTTTTGAGAATTTTTAAAAAATTTTTGGGGTTACGAGATTTTGAAAAAATTTGAGTTTTTCAATAATCATATGAATTTTTGGGTGATCGATATCTAGGTATTTCTTAAAAATCTATAAAATTTTTGAATTTACCAACGCTGATTAAAGATTTCAACCATAACACGACATCGATCAGTTGGCATCTGGATTATTACAGTGGCTGACAAAAAGGGGATTGAATTTAGAGAAAGAAGCTCTGGAGTTTAGAGAGAGAAAAGAGAAAGGAAAAAAAAAATTGACTTTGGCCTTTTATAAGCAGCCAAAATGATGCCATTTGAAAGCATCTAACCTACACGTGGACCTACTCTTGACTTAACCCATTTGGTAAGTTTTTCTTTTTCTTTTTCCTTTTTATTCTTTTATTCTTTTTATTTTTTTGTTTTGATTTTTGATTTTATTTATTTTGTGTTGATTTTATTTATTTTTTATGATATTATTGTTATTATTATATTATTATTTTATGTTATTATCATTATTCATTCTTTTAGAAATAGGTAAAAAAATAAAAATAGAATTAAAGTAAAATGTAGGCTAGCTAAAATTAAAAAATATGCATAAATCTTTTAAAAAATAATTATTCAAGGAAAATTAAAATTTTGTTCCAAGCAAAATGCTGCTTAAATTTCACCAAACTGATGAAATAATTTAAGAAATAATTTTTAATGAAAAATAATAAAATAAAAGACAAAAAATAAAACTAATAAATTATTTAAGTGAATCTTTTAAATGTAATTTTTAAAGAAAACTAAAAGAGTTTGGTTTTCTTTAATTATTATAAGTAAAAATATTTGTTGGATTTCACTATAGAGTTAGAATAATCTAAAAATTATTTTTACCAAAATAAAGATTTATTTAAAAAATATAAAAATAATAATAAATGATAAAAATAAAATGTTTGGATGAATATCTTAAGTATTACAAAAAATATATTTTTTATTTCACCAAAGAGTTAAGATAATAAAAAAATTAAATTAAAAATTATTCTCACTAAATAAAGAATTATTTAAATAATAAGAAAAATAATGAAAATAAAAAATAAAAAATAATGAATAAAAATAAATGTTTAATTAAATATCTTGAGTAAAAATTTTAAGAAAAATGAAAGAGTTTTATTTTTCTTAATTGTTACCAGGAGAAATGATTTTTTCGAATTTTGTCAAAAAGTCAAGAAAATCTTAAAAATCAGTTAGAAAAGCTATTTTTAGATTTCGTAAAAAAAATCAAGATAATCCTAAAATCAATTTTAATAAATAAATAAACAAATGAAATATCTTATGATGAAATTTAAGAAATTTTGTAAATAATCAATTTTCTTGAAAATCTTCTAAATGAAGATATCTTTTATAGATTTTGCCAGAGCTTAGCGAATTTATAAGATGCAAAAATAATAATAGTAATTTCACAATAAAAACGTTTTACACAAATAATTTTAGGAATTAATTTTAAATATAAATAAGACTATATTATCAAAATTAAATAATAACACATGCTTAATTAGTACTATTATTCGAACTAGAGACATAAGGGTGTTAATACCTTTCTTGCTTGTAACTGTATTCTTGGACCCAACTTTGATTTCGTAGATCAAAATGTCTTATGGTAAATCTTAATTAATTTTGAGATTTTATTAAAAAATGATCTTTTGGGTGACTAATAACACCCCTACAAAAAAAGATTGATGGCAACTCTGTAAGTTTTCACCAAACTCTAGTGATTGAGTTTTTTTAGACAAAAAATTATTATGACAACTTGGCGACTTCACTGGGGATATCTTAATAGTCAAGCAAAAACTTAAGATGTGTTATCCAAACTTTGATTTTATGAGTTTTTTTATATTTAATATTAATTCCTTATCTCATTTTAATATAAAATTAAAAAAAAAAAACAATTTTGATGGCTTTATTTAGTTTTGTTATTTCACTTGTCTTATATTGTTGGTAATTATATTATTGATTTTATTTCGATCAATAATTGCAATGTTCCTTCACATATGTGCACATTTGCATTTATGCACGAGCTCTATACCTAAGCTCCTAAATTTGTCCTTTTTAGGAAGGAGTAGAGTACCTACATTTCGTGAGGTTCTAATGCTTCTGCTTAGGCTAATGAAATACTTCAACTTAAATTGAATCATTTTTGTCAGTAGCTCATTATAGGTGAGGATCAAGGGCCTTACTAGTCTAGAATGGATGATAGCAAGGATCAATTTGGGAACCTTTTTAGATTATGTTAAATTCTAAACCCTATATATAATAAACCTTAAGAAACTAACTTTAGATAAAACCATGCTATTTTTGTAAATTATACCTTAAATTAGAGCATATGAGGGAACATTTATTTTAATTTGATTACTAACCCTAATTTATTTTGCTTTTCTTTTCTATCATGATCATGCATAATCATAAACATTTGCATATGGAATGTGCTTGTCAATATACCAATATCAATTAGAAGATTTTTGGTCTTTGTTTGAAAACACCATTATGATGTTCTCAGCTTCAAAGCCCACCATGTATGAAGAGGCTAATGAGCTGATAACTTTATCATTGAAACCTAAAGCAGAATGAGAGATTGTTTGAAAGAATCCAAAAAAGAAACTTTGCATAAAGAAATTAAGCTGGGGTTTTAATAAAATGACCTCTCTGAGTTGGTTGAGATCTAGTGTCATGTAACAAGCCCTAGGAAGATGGTTTTCGAGGAGAACTATGGTCATGTTGCTTCACTCTTTGAGTTGCCCACAAAAAACCAACTGATAAAAGCTCTAATTCAGTTTTGAAATCTTGCTTATAGATGTTTCATGTTCAACGAGATAGATATGATCCTAATAATAAAAAAGTATA